TATATATATATATATCCTTTCGTGGTTTATTAAGTTGGTGATTAATATTATTCTTCGAAATATTAAATGATTTGAAAGACTTTCCCCAAGTGAAGCTTGAATAGTGTAGAATTGCATGTCTCCTCACTGGGCCTGGCATACGTAATACAGCGTTTTTGTCAGTTTTCGCGGATGTGTGTAAATGCGAATCGTTTTGAAAACGTTGTCGTGTATACATTTTCCATTTTTTGACTACATCGTTGTCGTGTAAACGTATCCTTAGATGCATAGTGAACTTACTATTGTTATCTTTCATGAAGGTCCACAGATCTCTTTCCTCTGTGCTGTGAGCAAAGGAGCAGTTTCCAATGTACTGACACTTTTTGCCAGCTGCCACATGCATACAAATCTGCAAACATGCAGGAATAACAATTATTCAAGAGACAGTGACAGTATTGAAAAAACATCAATTTCAGTTCGCATTAAAGACAAGGGTTAATGTTTTTAGCATTAAATAAAAATATTACACCTACTTCAAACTGAGCAGGAATAGGCTTTTTGGTTGGGAGAGGTCGAACTGTAGTCCACTTTTTCCGTTCAATAGAGCTAACCAGAACCACCCGTCTCTCTTTTGACCAACTGAAAAGAGAAAGAGACACATGGTGAGATGTTATCAGAATATTGAACTTAAAATGGCAGTTTTGTGAATTAAAGGAAGTTCGCCCAAAAAAAATCAGGATTTGGATTTTAGATCCAGGATCTGGATAATATGAGCTGGACTCACGAATGCCGGGCCTTTGCACTGCAGTACTTCTTGTTTTTGTCTGGCTCGCTGACTTGGCCGTTCCTCCAACACTGAGCACATACAAACTGCATCTTCAGGTTAGCTGGTCCAAATCTGAGCAGGACCGGTGGGAGCTCCTATGCGATTGGCACAAAAATAACATAAGACATCTCTTGCAGGTATACTATCTATCAGTACACATGTATAAATTCTACCTGAGCATGAACAGCAGCATCCATATTCCAATATTTCTGCGACTCCTGGACAATACCTTCATGTGCGATACCTGAAGCAAACCAACACAACAGTTAGCGTTTCCTGTCAGCCTTCATGTCGGATAATTCATGAGTCTCAAGCGCCAGCTCACCTTGTTCACTCTGCATCATCCATACTTTGAGCTCGATGAGGCTGTGGGCGTAAAAGCAGAAATCCTCTCGCTGGCAGCCGTACCGTACCTCATGCCTACACAGATCCATCTGGCAATGAGGGAAGTATGGACGGATTTTGGAGTACCTGATGGTTTTGTCCCTTAAATAGTGTACAAGGCACCTGAGGGGGGAAAAAAACACTGGACAATACCTTCATGTGCGATACCTGAAGCAAACCAACACAACAGTTAGCGTTTCCTGTCAGCCTTCATGTCGGATAATTCATGAGTCTCAAGCGCCAGCTCACCTTGTTCACTCTGCATCATCCATACTTTGAGCTCGATGAGGCTGTGGGCGTAAAAGCAGAAATCCTCTCGCTGGCAGCCGTACCGTACCTCATGCCTACACAGATCCATCTGGCAATGAGGGAAGTATGGACGGATTTTGGAGTACCTGACGGTTTTGTCCCTTAAATAGTGTACAAGGCACCTGAGGGGGGAAAAAAAACAAGAGTGTTAATGCTACATCACTTTAAAAAAAGGTCTAACCTAGGGCCAGGCAATACGGACTATAAAAATAAAAAAACTCATCACTACCTGGCTCTCTAGAAGGCTTTATACAAAAATATTAGACCAAATAAAAATAAAGACTGCTAAACTGCATATTTGACTGTATATGTTGTAGTGTATTTGCTCTGAAATGGCTTAAACGGGTGAGAAACCATCACTTACTTAAAAATAATCACATTTTAAATGCTTTATTTTATTAATAATATTTTATAGTTTTTATTAATAATTGATCTTTTTCATACCATATTATTAATACTATCTAATTGTAGATTTGTATGTAGTGATAATGTATTAATTCACTGACATAGTTAATACAGTAGTCAACATTTGAAGTGGATCGAAAACTTTCATCAAAGTTGTCCTAAAACCAAAATGCGTTCTTGTCTCAGGACAACTTTGATGAACTTTTTTGATCCAACTCAAATGTTGACTATTGTAATCAGGTCACAAGACTCAAGTAACACTTTATTTGAAGGTGTCCTTGTTACACGTTACATGCACCTCCTATTATAACAACAATCAATTATGCATAATTACATGCAAGTAACCCTAAGCCAAACTCCAGCCCTGATCTGGTCAGATGAAGTCATTAATTCAGTCCAACGGCATTCACTGCAAAGCATGAATCTGCACTTTTAGTGTTTGGACATGTCTTCACAAGAAGAGATGCTTACTTCTTTTCCTCAAATGCATGCTTTGTCACTGGGTGAGAGCATAGACTGGGGTTGTCCTTATTGGTTTTGCTGATTATTCGGGGTTTGTGATCAAAGCACACCTACAGACCAAGTCACACATGTTAGGTATTTGTACAGCTTCTTTAAACTTTAAACCAATGCAAATTTCAGCAATGACGAAAAACAAACAGAGAAACTAAAAATCCATTCCTTTGGAAACCGGTCATTCCAGTTCAATGATGAAATGAGGTGGGTTAAAGACACACAATCAGCTGCTAAAAAACAAATCTCCAACAGGAAAAAGGGCTAAACATAAGCTTGATTTATTTTGGTCAGCTGACCTCCAGGTGTATCATGGATTAGTTAGTCATAGCTACAATAAGCAAGCCATTCTAACAATGGCACGTTTTACCTCACAGAGGAACATAAATATCCCATGGTGCTCCTGTAAGATTTTGGGCACAGTCAAATTGATCTTAGGTTTAGATCCATAAGGATCACACAGATTTTCTCTGCAGATGAAGCCTTTGCGTTCTAGCGTCCACACGTCAATTTCCTCTTGGCAATAAGCAAAGGTACAATGGGCAAGATACCGGCATTCTTGTCCAATCGCCACATCTATAAAGCAGAATTTTTCAGTATTTTAGTAAATAATCTGTGAAACTGTAAAATAAAGCCTCAAAGGAGATCACTGCAATTACCTTTGCAAATATAATAAGGCCCCATGTACTGGTTTTTAGTGGGTCTCGGCCGAATAAGTTTCCATGTTGGAAGTTCAGAATGTGTGGTTCTTCCCAAAAGCAAATCTTTTTTGCATTTGTGGTCCTCTGGAAGGTAAGTGTAATCCAGCACTCCGGGTCCTGTAAATACAATCAAATGATGAAGAACCTAATGCAAAACTTCAGGTCATACACTGGAAACACTGCCTAGCAACACTCCTGCATGACTGCCGCTTACCAATTTTAATGTAGCATGAGGAACAGGTCTGTTTAAATTCATGGGTATCAGCAAGTGGGTTCTTGGCAAGGTCTAACTGCGGTGGATAATCCTGCATAAATGTCCCATCGGATGTGCTGAAACCCATGCCGATGGGTGGAATGGTTGGCACTGACATGTCGCTATTACTTAGCTGAAAGAGCAAATAACTGAGATTAACCAAAGAGCACAGCTGAATGTTCAGGAAAGTGTTTATCATATTGATGTAAATGAACTCTTACCGGCATAAAATGATGCTGGCTAAAAGGTTTATCTGGTCCATAGAGAATTAAAAAACAAAAGGGAAAACAGAAATGAGCAAAGGAAACAGTGGCAGCAGGGTCCAAAATTAACCTGCTAAGGGTTAAATGGGAGTAAACATAATTTTTGATGACTAAATTGAAAAAAAAAAAAACTACATGTATATACACAACACTACATGGGATCAACAATATAGGCTAATACATTATTAAAGTTTCAGTTAATGACACCATGGGTCTCATTCACTAAGCTTGCGTACGATTTTAAGAACAAATCACCAAAAATTTCGTAATAAAATGTATTCTAAATTTACAAAAAAAATATAGGAACAACTGAAACCATATGTACGCAAAAAGCACTTAACTCCGTATGGCCTTATAATCGTGTTAAGTTATAGTTCATCCTAGCACGACTATAATTATGTTGAAGTATGTTGCATTAATTGTATTATACTATCCATATATAAATTCTATAATAATATTAAATAATACAATTTAATTTAATCTCAAATACATTCCATCACATACAGTGGAAGAGTGAGAAAAGCTGCATTATATGTTTAGCTGTGAGGTTTCCCTGAATAACGCTTGATATACGCGCATGTACAGCTGGCATGTATGAGGTGCTTATTGTGAGAACTGGTGAGAATGACACACTTGGCATTGCACGAGGAGCTTGTTTCCACCACAGAATAAAACATCTTAAAAGAATTGCGACTTTTTATCTCACAATTGCGTGTTTACATCTCACAATTCTGAGTTTAAAAAAGTCAATTGTGAGATAAAGTCGCAATTATTTTTTTAAATGTTTTATTCTGTGATGGAAACAAGCTTTCATAGGCGAGAGTGCATCTGCAAGCAGCGGCAAGTTTGACGAGAGTGACGAAAGGCTGTAATGAAAGCGTGTGCGGAAATCCTTTATATGGAGATGGTTTGGCCGTGTTTTATGCAAATGACTAACCTCCTGCACACGGCCGGTCATTTAGAATACTTCAAATTGACTAACATCAGAACGATGTTAAAGGGGTCATGAACTGCCTTTGTTCTTTATTTTGTACTGAACATT